CCATACCAAATGTGAATTATGTCTATTGAAAAAGAAAACCAGTTAAATCAGCTTTTTAGGGCATTGGTTTTCAATGTTTCACCACCACAATTTAAAAATGTTCAATACATACCAATAAGAAAAAAAAAATTATATAATTATTGTTATAAGTCATTCATAAGAAGCAAGCAACATTACTTAGAGGTTGAAGACTAGCCAATGGATATCAAAGTTAGGTTGCCAAGTGCAACATTTCTGAAGATGCATGCTGGTTCACACTTCAAATATAAAAATATTAATGGATTTAAAACCACAAAATAATCAATTGAATAATTGAATTGTCTACTTAGAAAGGATCAATTTTCGATTACAATTTGGTTTTCATAGATTTACAGACATGCTGCTGTGTAAATTCAGAAATTTGTTATCAGGCAATTAAATCTATTAAATTTATTAAACTAGATTTATTGAATTTATTAAGTTAAATTTATTAAATTTATTATATTTTCCTGAACATCCTCAGTACCAGTTGAAAAACTGCAAAAATTCTAATCTCTAATGATATCAATTTTGTTGCTATTTAATAAAATTACATTATAATGCAATGCAGCTTTGTTGGTTTAAATGTTTTTCCTCAAATCATTCTGTGATACATAATATAGGGCAACAAAATATACGTAGGAAAGACTACATTTCCCATGGGATCTATGGAAAGACAAACCATGTTCCTCAAAGTATTCTAGTTTGGAGGAAAAAGCAAGTTTGAATAACCTTAGAATGCATAAGGGCTGAGAATATACGTGCCTTATATGGTACCTTCAACACAAAGTATTAACTTGTGATTGGTTGATATGATCCGAGATGTCCTGAGGGATTTTATAATACTGTAAGGAGCTTAAGGAAAAGGAGGACAATGACATAGAATTGGTAGAATATTAAGAAAATAGCATGTTTTTTAAGGCGTAGCATGGCCTTCATTTGCTTGAAATATATTGGTGTATAGAGGTAGGCTTATTGCTATTCTTTCTATTTTTCTGAAGATGTCAGGAGGGTTAAAGGTCACATTTCTGACCTGTATTAATGTACTTACTAAGTTCTACCGTGCTGGAGGATTTGATTATTATACGTGATCCAGAAATTCATACAATATTTTAAAAATATATATATTTTATATGCTTATTATGGCAATTACGATTACTGTACTTATTCAGTAACTAATTTACTTTAAATATACAGGGAAGTACAGTAACATAAATTCAAAATGAAGGGATTTCAAAATGCTTAAAGATAAAAAATATTTAAATTTTTAGGTAAACTTATTGTTGAAAAGATTGATGAACTGATTTGCCAATATACATATGCACAGATTACAATGATTCTATTCTTACAAAGGAATGACATTTTTTTTTTTTTTTTTTTGGAACTGACCAATATTTACTGGAAATCCTAAGTAAATATCGTTGTGGATGCTATTGATTGGTGTCCCGAATCAAATGTTAGGTTTTAATTGCCAACGGTATAAAATTACGTGTTTAGATAGGATGCCTCGCGTTATTCTGTACGCAGAAATATAATTGTACTATTTACAGTGAGTTGAAAACAGATGACAACATTCTCAGGGTTTGATACCCAACTCTGGTTTTACAATGCAAGTTTATATCCTACTTTTAATATATTTGGTACTCATAAAAAAGCAGTAAAACATTTGGTATAAAGGACTACAATTTGCTATGTAAAAGGTTATTGATTTTTAATCTTGATCATGCAAATGTATGAAATGATAAATTTTAATTGAGCAATATATTTCAAGATTTGAAAATAAAATTCTATAATTTTGTGATTTTTCAAGGTCTTATAATTTTTCTTTAGCTGAGGTGGTTGCATATATATTGTGTAACTGCAGTGGCAGCAACATCAGTAGAACCCCTTCTTTGCTACACCAGTATTGAGAGGACAATTGCTATTGGAACAAACAGTATGCTAGGGATTAGGGGGTAAACAAATTTGTACATTCTTACATATGCATAAAAATGTTGATTCAAAATAACATGCAATATGTAAAAAAAATGGTAAAATTGTAATGTAACCATGGATATAATATTCATTTTAAAGCAACCAGGTACATAGCTTTAGTTGACTTTACAAAAAAAGTAATGGAGAATTGTTTTCCAAAATCAAAATTGTTTACACTTTCAGAGAGGGAGGAGGGGGTACCGAAAAAGAATACTGTTTGTAAACTTGTGAAAATGCTGATAGTTGTGATAGACCCCTTAAGGGAACACTTCTTTGGGCATGAAACATAGGTATACCTTTTAAAACTATGGCCAACACCTATTCTAGGGACTCCCTATTAAAGGGGGAATTTTTTTTTGGTCCATGTGTCACCATAATAGGACTCTATTGCATTGGAAAATATATGACACATTCATTAACATCAAGTGAGTTACAAAAAGTTACCACTAAACTTTATGAAACCTTTGCATGGAGTGTATTTGTTGAAAATGCTTTTTAAATATGCAGTTACTAGTACTAATGAAAAATGGATTGTGAAAAAGCATTGAGTTTCTGTAAGATACCTGTATACTTGTAAGATGGGGACTGATCCCTACGGTTGTTGGCTGACGTGACTCTATAAAGAATGCAACTCCACGCATGTGCGCAATGGTTAAATGTGTAACTGCCACTGATAATCAGCAGACAGTGTCGCGTTTTCTAACGTTCATGGGGAGCGGAGTTAAATTCATCAGCCGATGGTAGTACGACGCAGTGAGTGGCCAGCTTTCACATTTCACATTTCATTTATTATATTATGTGCTTGTTTTTATTTATTTATCTACTTTTATTTACTTTATTTTATTACATATTTTTATTTTTTTTATTTATTTATTTTTTTATTTATTTATTTAAAAAAAATTTTTTTTTTTTAAATTTTTTTTCCCCTTTTAGTTAAGATTTTAAACTTAAGAATATTATATTATTTTCATTGGATTTGGATTTTTCATTACTATTGTCTCTTTTTTTATGAATTTATCTTTACTTGTAACTTTTGTTCTGTTGTATGGTCGAACCTCTCCTGCGTGAGAGTGTTCCTCTGCTTTGAAAGAGAGAGCCAATAAATTATTATTAGCTTAAAACATAGATGTTCCGTGAAAAACCAACCTTTACAAAAGTGGAGACATACTGTAGACCAATGAATATGGTTAGGCCTAAAAAAAAAAATGTTATGTTGGTGTAACAGGCCCTAAAAAATAGGGTAGGTAGGTATCAATTAAATAAGCCTTTAAAGCCCCTAATTGTCATATTTTTTGCCCTTGGACCATTTTTGAAACATTTTGTGTGACGCCCGACCACGCCCACTTTCCTCATGTAAACTTGTATCATGAAATTTAAATAAAAATGTCTAGGGTCGGGCGATTTCAACTTTCAACAAATTACTCCCAATGCAGGCTCATCGTGCGCATTCATATATCTACTGGAGTTTTTGTGAAGTGAAAAAATGCATAGCCAATCAGAAATCAGGAAGCGAACTGACACATACGATTTGTGCCTATAAATTCGCCTAGTTAAACAGGCTTTAGAACTTTAGTCTATTGTCTCTCAGCTACAATGCCTGATCCCTCCATTACCATATCCAACCTTTATAAAAGTACGTTTGTAATAAAATTACAACAATCAAAATAAATATATACTTGGATTCCTGATTTCTGAATTAGTAATTAGTTGCTTGTTTATTTGTAATCATATCACATAGACAATAAAATAAAACATCTGTTTTTATGAGCTCGTGTGCTATACCAATCAATAAAAATAATAAATTCTTTTCAAATTTGTATCTGATGACCCAGATTTGATATGCTATACTTTTAATTATATCATAAAATTACTTATGAAATACAATTTATGCTAGGCAAACAACCCAAAAAAGGAAGAATATCTTACTGAATAATTATTTATAGAAATTCATATTTATAAAAAAATTTTATAATTTTATTCCAATGGGAGAAAATATTGCAGGAAGATGTCATTTAAATGTTGATTCTGGTGACATTTGCATGTGCAGCGCTTTAAAATAAAGTCTCAATTAGTTTGAAACTTGCGACTATGTTAGTGTAGTGTAAATGCAAAAAGTACACAAGACACAGATTTTCATACAAATGAAATGCTTCAAATTACATATTTAACTTTACGAACAGACTACATATAATACAAACAAGAAACTCGAAACTAATTAAAGTATATGAAAATTAAAGAAATTTTTCTTTCTATACTTATTTCAGTTGGGGGTTTCAACAATTTATTTAAAAATTCTAGTAAAGTATATTTTTAAATTTTTCCTATGCCTGTTATTTAAAAATAAAATGAACAAGTCAATTTTTAATGCAAGAGTTGTATTTGTGTCCTATTTTTAACAATTAATGTATATTTGGTTATTTTTTTTAAAAATTGTAATATTTACATGTCATGCAGTATCCATGGAACTTTGCTAGTTGACTGATATCCGATTATTCCCCATTAATGACTACAGCTTACCAGTTCTTCAGATATGGATTTTGGTCCTGGTGAATTTTAGAGGAGGGAATTAATTAATCTTTCTTTTAATCGGGGTGTAACCATTCAGTGACTGTCAGTGTTTTTCATGGAAGCCCTGATACATAAATTTAGCAAAATAATACAGAAAATATGTTTACAAATATGCAATTCAAAAGTAACTAGAAAGTAAAAAATAATGATACAGTAGCCAAGAATTTCATGGATTCATTCATGGATGCTTTCTAGAGAACCACAATATTTTTTGTCAAACCCTGAATACCAGTATCCAGTATAATACATGTATAAACAAGTAATGGATCAATATTATAATCATTTTCCTGGCTTGCAAGTTTCAGTTATTAAAAATGATAAAAGTAATTTCATGTATCCATGTATTATAAAACAGTTTTGACTTTCCATATTTTGAAAGTTGTACTACAATAGTAGCAAGACACAATTTTTAACAATACCAAATGTTTTTTTGTTTCTAGGAATGGAAAATAACAGTTCAACGTGGAGTAATAATGGTGCAAGACCTAGTCCCAATTATGAATCACAATCTAGGGTAAGACATGAATATTCATAGTTCATTAACTCAAATATTCATGAATATTCATAAAGTTCATTAATTTACATGTAATATTAATTATTCATATAGCTCATTAATTCATGAGTTGTCATGATTATTCATTTCAAAGAAAATTCATCTAAAATATTCATATATCATTAACCCACAAGTAGTTATGAATATATATATATAGCTCATTAATTCATGAGTAGTCATGCATCATATAGCTCATTAACTCACAAGTTACTTTTTACATTATACAAGATGAAACAGAAATATAGACATTTTTTTCTCAAGTGAAACAACTCCTTGTCTTAAGCCTCAATCATAAAGAGACTTATTTTATAATACAAAGTAGATCCTCTGGTTGAGAAGTATTTAGGAAAAAAGTTAAAGCATATTACTTTATAGAATTTTACTTAAATATCAACTTTTGTAACAAATTAAACTTCAAACCTAATAGACGTGTATATATAAACATTTAAAATGACATAAAAATAAATTGAAACACTAAGTATTTAAGATTAAGGCTTAACATGGACTTAATTCTAAACTGCATTTATTGTTTTCATAAAGTTATCTGATAATGCATTTATTATTAATATCCTAATATTACATGATGATATTGGAATGGACTCAAAAACACTAAAGAATGCAACAGCTAAATCATTGGTATTTGTGGTTAGAAGCCAAATTTATAAATTGACCTTTGACATGTCAGAGTTTAAATCATTATTAATGACTTTAATGGCATTGAGTTGATAATATTTGTTGGCAGGCAAATTCAAATAGTGAAACTAAGCCAAGAACTTGCTGCATTTTTTAACAACCTTTCTAAGTATTCGGACTTCATTTTTTAATTGGAAGAAGTAGATGTAAATTTGAATCTTGAATGTTAATTACTAAAGGGAGTTCACTTAAAGGTGTACAGGAATTCGGTATGATATAGCATTTAAAACAAGTATCGTTAAGTCACTGTGGTTAAAAAAGTTTAATAGAATGTATTATTGCTACATAACTGATGCACTTGTGTGGAAAAGTAAAGGTAGTTCACCTAAGATGCAACAATTTTTTAGTTATTTTTTCATTAAAACAGTTATTGATCAAGACAAGCCCCAAATAGTGTGGTTCAATTTGTTTGAAATCTTCTTCCCCAGAGAATGGTTGAAAGAACCCTTGGAGATGTTCTTCTTAATAATTGCTAATGAAAGCTCAGACATAATAATAGTACTATACTGACATTTTTCTTTGGGAAATTACACTTTTTTTGTAAGGACACATTTTATAAAAATTGTTGATGTTTAAATTGCTTTTAAAAAAAAACAAGAAAATAAGAAAAATTAAGCTGAGGTAAAATGTCAAATTAGGTTTCTATTAAGAAAAAAATAGAAAACCAACAAATCTTATCTGTACACTATGTGCAGTATTATCTGTATACACTCTATAGAATAATATTGATGTACAGTAATAATTTTCTATCTTTGAAAAGTGTAAAACAAGAACAAAATAAGAACATTTCAAGCCTGAAATCAGCAAAAAAAATATAAGACCATTGAGCCTGGGAACAATATAACTGGTTCTTATAAAAAAAAAAGTTTATTATCATTTGATAACTGAGGTTCTAGAAGTTCATCACCTTCCAAATGAAATATCACTTTCCCATGAGTTGATATCTTTATAATGGACTGCTGTAACTAAAGTTATACATCAACTTGTATACACTTGGGTTAGTTGGCACACCTAAAAAGTTTATCTTTAGTTCCTAAGAGCCTGGTTCTCAACTTAAACCTTGTAAACATTTTGTATGTCATTGAATGAGAATGATGTAGATGCATTATAAAGTATACACATAATAATTAAACAAAGAAATGTTTTCTACTGTAATGAATATTTCTTTTCCAAGAATATTTAATTTTTGTGTTCCACTTTAGCTTTTGAAAATTTACTGCCCATCTTATAATCTTCAATCTTGATATTTAGTAAAACTTTTAATTAATGTTTAAAATATATTTAATAAATAATAAAATAATAATATAAAAAAATATGTTCAATAGAATCAAATTAGATAATTATAATAATTAACCAAATTAAAATATATTCAATAGAATCAAATTTTATAAATATTAATTATGCGCTGCAACAGTATTTTCAAAAGTATCACATTACTGTAACTCTGCGGAAGATTGTCTGGGACAGAGCACACTATACCACCTAGTCATGGTTACTTAGCAATCAGTAGTTGCACTGTTACTGTTCATTGAAATTTTATTCTAAAAAAAAAAAAAACCATAATTATAGCAAAGATAATTTAATATGTTGTACATGTTATAAAAATAAATTAATACCAAGTTTAGTGCAAATTAGAACTGATAGTTGACATTTAAATTGAAAGAAAATTATCATAATTCAAATAATAATGTAGAGGTTGTCTCCCTTGTAATTAAAGCTACATCTGGAAAACTAATCAGCAATGAATTGTAACAAACTCAATGGAATATTAGTGCATTAATTCATGTATACTTGTTTATCGAAACTTAAAAAATATAGTTGGATTTTAAGACTAGTTTTTATATAAGAAATTTACATTCAAAGAATGAGAATGGTGTACTAATTATAAGAATCTTGTTATCTAAGTTTCCATGCACACAGTAGAATATGGTAAAACGCATACCAGTCGACAAATAGTGTCTGTGATTGTGTGTCACATGACCTTTGATATATTGAAGACTCAAATCGTGGAGGATTTGTGTAGGTGTTCGAATTAATAACGACATTATGATGAATTGCGTGAACTTGATTTTAAGTAGTTTGCAAGTACTGTGAGGTTGATGTATCGGTATAATTTGATCTGATATTTCTATTAAAAGAAATTAATGTTAATCTTATAATTGGTATGCAATATAATTAACCATAAGGCATTTGGAATTCCTGAATAGGAATCATTTGAAAGATAAAATCAATAATTTTTTTTATATTTGTTTGTTGTTGAAATAATACGGTTTTATATAAAATATTATAGCTATTTTGTTATTTAGAATGTATTGTTTTATTATGTTAAAATGAAATATATTTTTATAATGGATATTACTAGCAAAGAAAATGGTATTTTCCCTTTAGGTTAGTTCTGAAAAGAACTGTTGATATGAAAAGACTTAAATTTTTAAGGTAATGCCTTCATTTCAGTGTTTTCTAAGTAAATCTTTATTCAGATTCAGATGTCTCTAAATGATAGACAGGAGTTTTAATGGCCGTGGGGAAGAGTTTAATATGTCCTCTATTCTGTATCCTGCTTTTGTAGACCAACCTTATGAATGAAAATAATGAAATATAATGTGGATGTTTCCCACATTTCTTCTGAGTATGTAGGCCTACTTGTTGCACTAACTGAAATGGTAGCATATTATTTTTACAATACAAAAGGCTTACATTTTCTACAAGAAAACTCTCATTATGTTTTCAATTAAACTCAAATATATTTTGAAGTTGGTTTTTTTAATTTTTTTTATTGATCTTTGCACTACTGAGTCATTTGTTCCATGCTTGACGGGAAGTGTGAGATAAATGATCGGGGGATGAAATGATCAATTTTATGTTAGATTCTTTTCACCAATATATATAAACCAATCTTTTTTACCCTTCAAATATTTTCACCTCTGTTAATTTGATTTTAAAAAATTATATTGTTTTGATAGCGTTCTCACAGATCAAAACTATGTATTTGTTCTGTGAACAATTCTTTTTATTTATGAACTCTTTGTTTCAAATGTAATTATATCATTTAGGGGTCAATTTAAGAGTGTACAGTATACGGTACTAGTGCATTTTGCTAATATGGTGTACTACAAACAAGATATGGACATTATTATAGTGGAATGATATACTCCATCTCGCCGTCTCCGATCATCCTCTCAAATCCTTCTTTCTGTCTCCAAATGCCGTACCAAAACCTACGGTCAATGTTCTTTTACTTTTGCTTCTGCCTATTTCTGGAACCAACTTCCAAATTACATAACTCTATTTGCAACTTTAAGTCACAGCTTAAGACCTATTTGTTTTCCGGTGGCTTTTCACATGCGTTGTGCCTTTGATCTTGTTTGGAATTGCCGCCATATAAATTTGTGATATTATTATTATTATTATGATATCAATTTATTAATTGGAACGAAAATATTGTCTTCTTGTAATTGCCAATTGAAAGTTAATAACTTCTTTAAATATAGAAATACACAATTCACATATTGCTCAAGTATAGTATTGCTTCCCAGTATCCTTAATGTACAACAGTAATTAAACTAACAAATACCACTATTGAAATAGATGGTTTGAAATACTGGTTTACAAATCAGAAATTATAATAATTCAAATCTTTTGTATCTCTTCATTAAAGTAGAAAAATGTTTGTTTACATTTTGCAATCTATTGTTTGATAATACAAGCTATTTATTAGCATTTTCATCATCAGTATTGATAATGAAATTTTGATGAGATAACAAAAGAATATTAGTCATTATATATATATTTTGATTCTCTTTTTTTGGTAAGTATCCAAACTTTAAGTACTGTATCTATTAATAATAGTTAATTGTGTTACTAAATTCTTGTCAAATTACATTTGCTATTTGTTGGTTGTTAATAAATAAAATCTTACTTAATATTATAAAGAGACATCGTAACTTATTTTTAAAATTTTCTTAACACAAATCATATAAAAACACTCACGGATTAATAACACAAATAATCATACTAAAAATTTTAATCTATTTAACCTGATATTGAATAATTGAACCGTTTCTGAAACCAAATGCCACCAATCAAAGAACTGTCATATTTTTTTAACAAATCTCATTTTAAATAGTTAAAGCTTTTAATTTTATTGCTTACTAGATAACCTAGATCACAATTATACAGGTATGTAGGTGGAGGGGTGCAGGTTATGGGTTTGGGGGTTTGAAAATATCCCTATGCCTCAAACTAGTTTCTCTAGGTGGGTTGTAAAAGTCAAAATGACCATAGAGCTTCCATTGGAATAGGGATTTAGTTCCACATTCACAATTTTATACTGCCAGACCAGAACCAGCCTACTCCCTGGATACCCATTAATTAAGGTGGCATAGATAAAACATTGAGAAAAAGACCTTTATTTGGCTAACTTTAGCTAACATTTTCTTATCTGCCTTCCTCTCCTTCTCTTTCCTGTCCGTGGTTGCCATTCTGTTAGTCTCTTGGTCCATCTGTTGTCTTGAATTCTTCATATGTGTCCAGCCCATCTCCACTTCATTTCCTTGATCTTCTCTATGATGTCTTTTACTTTTGTTTGATTTCTAATGATGGCGTGTCTCACTTTATCACGTAGTGATATGTTCAGCATTCTTCTCTCCATTGCTCTTTGTGTAGTTATTAGTTTTTTGTTTTTGTTTTTTTGTTTTTTTTTGTTTTTTTACTGTGATTAAATGATTAAAGTACTTGATACCAAATGATGCATACAACCCCAATCATTACCTGTAATATTTGATGAGTAATTTTGAAATGTTGTACTCTGTTAACCTTTCTATTGACTGTTGCTGTTTTTTTGTTGAATAAGGAAATCATTTGTAATTTGGTTTCTTATTACGACAAGTTGTTAACCTATAAACGACAAACGAACGTTTCAACTCGGAGGCAACATCATTTAATTTTGGTTGACTGTATCATGACAGGAATCGATATAAACTCAAATGATGTTCAATATATTTTATTCTATTTTATGTTGAAGTTCATTATAGTTGTTTATGTTTTACATCTAATTTCAAACATTATATAACTTGGTGATGCTTGATATAATACAGTTAGTAACATTCGTAGCCTTTAATATTGAAATTTAATTATTTACAATGTCGTTATTTTAGAAATCAATTCTAATGGAAACTGTTGTTTATTTTGGTGTTGTTTCCACTTGATATAATTTTTGATAGTTAATTTGATTTTCTCTCTTTATTTACGTTTGTGACAGTTGTACAGTACCTTTAATCTCTAAAAATTTCATTGAACTCAAATATTTCTATTATAATTATTTTGCTTTATTTTGAAACTTGTAGAATTAAAGATGAAATTACAAGCAATACAATCATTACAACATTTTGACAGCTTATACCATGTAAATTAATGTCGTGTTTGATAATTTACACTAATAAATTGAAAATGAAAGTATGCTAAGATGGAAAAAACACTACATACTGGTTTTAATGTGAATTTCACTGATGTTTGAATTTATTCTATGCAATGAGTCTGTTCCATGTAATATTTTTTTGTACATGGACATGGTTTGTAGTCCACCTTTGAGTATAAGGTCACCCTTTAACTTTTTATCAGTTACTTCTTGTCGACTACAGTTTCTATAATATGCTGTACTTATGTCTACTCTCTGGTACTCCACCTTCTTCTGTTGTGAATCACTACATACAGTATATATCTTCTTGCTATACTTTTCTCTGTAAACTTACCCTATAATTTCAGTCTACTGTACTCATCAACACCATTACCATCACCACCTCCACCTCCATTATCTGATCATTATCATCATTTTTCTCATATCATTGCCTTCTATATTTGCATCATCATCAACATCATCATTGTCACTGTCTTTTTTGTCATTTTTTTCTTAATTCATGCAAAATCCTTATAATATTGTATTTAATGGTCTTTTTGTTTTGAATAAATTGACGTTATGTAGTATTTGGTAATGTGACCATTACATGATCATTTATAATAGGTTTAATAGGTTCTAATGTCAGTAATAAGAACAAAGAAATTATCTTTTAAGTAGTGACATTGTTCAAATGATGTTATAGACTAAGTCTTGCATTCCTCATCAAAAATCGTTGTTGGTTATCAAATGTGGATTATAGTGTGTTCTCATTTCCTCAGCATGATGAAATAACAAAATGCAAAGATAATGAAGAAAAAATAAGTCACTACACTTTCTTGGTCTGTTAAACAAAAACAATAATAAAAGAAAAATAAAAAAATAAATAAATATAAAATAAAAATAAATGAAAAAAATAAATGAAAAATATATCTGAATTTTGTAGTAATCAGAACAGAAAGAAAAAGTTGTTTATTTCTTAATTTCTTTATCAATTAAAATGCAGGTCTTCCTTCATGGTTTTATCAGCTTTGGTCTCTAATTAGAATAATGAAGATAATAGACATTTGTTAATATGGGTCCACAGAAAAATTGTCTTAATTGGAGGTGGTCTTTAAATTGGAGGGGTCATTAATTAGAGGGAGACCTGTATTATATATTTGAGGTATATGTACAGCTAACATAAACATGTTACCTTATCTATTTCTCACCCAAAAAATAAGTAATGTTTGTACTTGGCTCAATATGATTTATTTATTATTATAACGATGTCAAAGACGCGGACTTGATATCTTTACGTGAAGAAAAAACAATTTTGTTAGGCTTAATAGTATGGTACTTTGGAGATGATAGATTAAGGCTATGAGGAATATTGAGAGTGATCATCAAAAGTGACATTAGATATCGAATGATTACCAAGTACTTCCTGAAACGACTCCAATAAAACAAAAGACTTTTAAATAAGTGTTCTATTTGGATAATAGCATCGTAGTTAATGTACAAAGTCTGTGATTGCTGATGCTTAAGTGTAAAAATGAGCCATTTATATCACTGTTGTTTAGGCGTGAGTTGTCTGACTGTTTTGCCATTAAATTATATTGTTGTGCGTCGTATTTGTTTTCTCGTATTTTCATGATGGTGGAGTATAGTGGATATAGACGCGATTGGTACAAGTTCACCTGAATCTCTCTACATCCTTTATAGCTTTAGAGCCAGGAAATGGCTGACAGGTTAGGTTGGTTTTGATTTCCGCCATTATCATCGCAGTAGGACAATAAATTTCACATTTTGACGCTGAGCTAACGTCCCCGGAGAGCTCGCATAATCACTCGTCTCCATCAATTCTTTGATTCTACCTGTGATTTAGCTGTTATCTATTTGATAGCTTTAGTCAATACAACTTTAATCAATATTGTAGCGCATATTGTTTGCTTACCTTCAAACACTGTTTTGCTTTATTCTGTGATATATATTTTTTTGTGTTGGATGCAATAATAAGTTCAATTATTATTGTTTAAGATCTCATAATTTTAATGTTTAATTTCTTAATTATAATTAAAATTCTATAATGCATTTTACGTATAATTCTAATCATAAAATAATAATAATCAAATGACAACACTTTTTTAACAATAATATGAAATGCACTTATTTACTATTACTATTTTATAGCACGTAGAACAATCTTGGTGTACCGACTGTAACATTTGAGATAAATCAAATAATTTTTTTTTCAATTCCACACTGAATGTAGCTACACAAAAATGAACATAATCAAGTTATCTCAAGTACTAACATTCAGTAGAAGTGATATTTCTATTAATCCACTATTAATAACAGAAACGACAACTAAATGATTTCATAATTTAATAAATGATCATGAACTTTTGTTCAAATGTAATATTCTAATATCTTAGTTTATGTTTACTAATGATAGTGTTTGTTTCTTACAGAATTATGAATATGGAGATATGAATGATAGAGGAATAGATGGCAGTTATGCTGCAGGTAACAAAATTGCATATTTTACTCATATCTTGCCATTTTTACATGTTTTCTTATTAAGAAACTTAATTTCCCGATGCAATTTTACGTGTCTTAACGATAGAATCAGTACATTTGGTGTTTTTTGAGGAAGGACTATATGAATCTGTGATGACTCTAGTTGGTTTTTAGTTTTGTAAATGAACAATAGATAGTATTACAAGAGAGGAACTAGCCATCAAGAGGTAACTTCCCACGATGAAATGTTCGGCACCCAGCCAGTTTCATCTATTGTGTTCTGCCTTGGGAAAAAGCAAGTAGGTGATGGCCTTGACAGAACGGGCCTAGCACCTCAGCATGTGATCTCCAGGAGTAGCTCTCAGTCACAACCGCACGCACCATGACAGCCTAGAATTGGCCAAATTAATATCAAAATAGGATACAAAGTAATTAGGTTTCTTTCTTTGATGTCTCGATGTAATAGGATACCTATTGTTCTGTGGTTAACAAGTTTATGCTGTTCTTATTCGCCCTAGGTTATTATCAGAGGGAAGAACATTCACATAAAGTTGCACGCTCACAATGTGAATTGGGTGAAATACATTACATCGTAATTGGACCGCCTTAGAATATTTGTCAAGGCAAAGGAAACATCCTGCCTCATTCTTCAACAAGTAAAAATAAACCAATAAAAAAAATAATATTCTCATTCAATTTAATACTCTGTTAATATATAACTAATCTTCATTGACATTTCTTAAAGATGTGGGTTTTTTTAATGTTCTTATACGAGTACTTCTTCAAAAAACTGGTATCCAATAGATATGATTTTAGCTTAGTACATTGGAGACTTGATATGAAGACCTAATAACTAACTGGTTTTGAGTCGCAAGGACATGTTTTAATTAACTTGTCAATTACTATTTAATCACTGTTGGAAACTTCCTTTTTAAAATAAAAAATAAAAAATTTGAGACATTGCGCATATGAAACATAAAAAAAATGTGACTACGTAAAAAAAAAAAATGCTCATGGTTGATTATATTACTCATGATTGATTATATATGCTGTAAAATAATAGACTTCAAAATATGGCTACATATATCAGACTGGCAACACACTTGATAATAAAGTAAAATTAATATTAAGAATATAAATGAAAAATTTATAAATAAATTAATGATACAAACATTAAAATATATTACATAATTTTTAATTTTCTAATTTGATTATAATGTGACAAATTTTACATACATGCATTATGAATATTCACTGTAAAAAATAGACACCAAAATATACAGCTAAATTTAAGTAAAGTAATTATAAATTATTTTGACAATGTTATTCTAGTACTATTTGTAACAGACACCCATAAACAAATCTATTCTTTAGGGAAAATTATTTTTGCACGTACCATAATTACAATGATCTATTTATCCTAATTCTAATTATGTGATGCGATCTATTATTACTATAGCATATTGGTTCCTGATATCCTTTCAAATTTAAGACTAATTATTTTTAGCAAGAATTATTAATTATTACAAATTGAGGGTGAACATTAAGTGGGATAGAGGACAAAGTTAGAGGAAGCTACACTTCTTTTTTTTTTTATATAAGAACCAGTAAAATTTTGCCCAGGCTCAGTGTTCTTATTTATTGGCCGATTTCAGGCTCAAAATGTTCTTAATTTGTTCTTATTTTACACACTTTTTAAACATAGAAAATTATTATGTACAGCAAAATGGGCCCTGAAAAAATTGCCCTGGAAAAATTGCCCCAGAAAAAAGGCCTGGTAAAAATGGCCCCAAATGACACTATACCTGATTATAGGGGGTATTGCATAGTTACATACATTACTGCACATAAGGTACAGATATAATTTTTTGGTTTTTCAAAAACCTCATTTGACATTTCTTATAAAAATAAAAAAGTGTAGCTGGCAACATAAGGTGATATGTGCTGATGTTTAACTACTGGAGTATAATTTTTCTACTCAGCAAGTTTCAAGTGGAGGTGTATCTTTGAGCACAAACTCTCCTGGGGGATATGAACCCTCCCCCATGCTCCCCTGTAGGTACACCACTGAGTACATTACATTTCATATTGCTGCAGTTCTTTAACTTCACTTGATTTAATACTACATCACATCTACAATCTCGAGAAATTAAGGTAGAGATCTAGAGACCATCATCTGTTTTCAATTAATCTCAAAAAGTTGACCCAAATAATGACCTCATCCATAGCGCATTATGACCATACAAAATCTAAGAAAGAAAAGATTATCATGATATTGACTACTGTATACCAGATTAATTATACAATAGTATTTTATTTGAGGCCATGACACCATGTTTGTAATTGGTTGATAGAAAATAACTAGTCTTCATTTGCGTTTAAATTTTAATGTACAAATCATATTGTAGATGGAACGAAGATATCGGGTTTCAATTTTTGTAGGCTAGGCTGTCAACTAAGCTAGAAGGAGAAGCCTTTTAATTACAGCCTCTAGTTGCTTGTTGCCCGAAGGCCTTTGTGAACTATGGCCTTTAGGCTGGCTAACCAATTATTTAGAACATAACACTGAACATAAACGATTATATACTGTATTTATTTGAATAAATGCCCTTTGAGAAGGTTTTTTTTAAGGGAGGTGTTTATTCAAAGCAGGGTGTTTGAATAAATACAGTACTGTATATGAAATCTCATGAATGCTTGCAATCTACATGTTTTTAGCGTGTGTGTAGCCTACTAGGGAGGGGCTATTCTTTCTGCCAATACATATATTCACACATTCTCATGTAAGTATACATTCATGGTTGTCTGTATAGTAGGCCTATTGACACAAATATCAATAGGCGTACATGTATGGATATTTACACATGTACGCATGCAGATTCCACGGGCAGATCCAGAATTTTTTAAACGGGAGGGGCACAACAGTTTCAGAATAAATAAGTAATCCACATAAAACTGATGCTTTGAAATTTTAAAAATTTAGTGTCAAAAAGAGGAAGGGGTCCCCCCGATGTGCCTCCTGTTCCCCTACTAGATCCTTCGCTGGATACATATGATGATGAATTTATTCGGTGTGAACATCAAGGATAACCCATGGAAGTCTGAAGAAGACATTTCCATTGGTGGGGTCCTTCTGGTGGTGATTAGGCAGTACAACATGTACACAATTCTATGTACATTTACAATATATTTACATGTTTATACCTGTATACACTGCATTATATTCACAACACAGACACATTTAGTAACATTTGAATAGTACCAGTTGGTCACTGGCTGCATCATGATGTTTATATTTTGGTATCACTTGGTCAAATGAAATCTTGGAATAGACCGAAATTTTATGTTGGCCATGGAGATTGGCGTTGTCGTCCAGCAAGAGGATATGTAAATAGTACGACTTCTACTTAGTACACCATCTGACATGGGAAATTTCCATCATATTTTGTCGCGAGAGTTCAGGTGGTAATTCAATTGTACACCCAATTAAAGGCATAATGCAGTAGCACGTGTAAACGTTTATAAACCGATTTTAACCCTCAGATAATTTGGTGTGAACGTGCCACATCCTGTGGTCTGCGAGTTTCTTTTCATGGTTTATTTCTATCTTTTTTGCAGTATTACTACTGAGCACATCTAAACGTTTTGCTTCATTGCCTATTGATGCTAACTATTTAGGCCAAAAAAAAAATTTACTTGTTTAGCGTCCCACCCTCAGAAATTTTCAGGGGGGGGGGGTGCGGATTTTAAAAAAAAAATTGTTAAAATTTTTTTTTGCTGGCCCAGGCCTAGCCTATGCCTAATGTGTAGGCTTCTTAGGTCTAGAGATTTCAAAAACTGCATTGGTGCCAAGCCAAATCTTTTACAAAAGCTATAACAGACGCTAAATTTACGTAAAAGATTTGTTTGTACAATATTTATTTTAATAAGCATTGTGCTGCCGTAGGCTAACTGCTGCAGTGCTAGGCTAGGCCAGGTAGGCCAGCCATACTTACTACTACTAGTTGGGGTCTAGGCCTAGTTAGGTAGTACTTGCTAGGCCTAAAACATCTGCCAATTGAAGCGTAGGTCGTAACCTATTATTTTTCTTCATAGTACTTTATTATTATCATATTTAAAACATTGTTTATTATCTAAAAAGAACCAAATAAAAACATGTATGCCTACGATCAAATTGTCTGCGATTTCTGTCAGCAAGGCACATGTGTGAGGGAATCTATTTTTTTCTTCAGAAAAAGAAAACACACTTGGTGGCGCACTTCAAATCTTGTTCCCTGTGCTGAAGATAAAAAAAAACGATCGTTTTTTTCCTCTATTATCGGCATTTTTTAGCCTATTATTAGGCTAAAATTAGCTCTATTAGCTATTAGCTCTATTTATCAATTTTTTACCAAAAAAAAAAAAAAAATGAGAGGCGGCTAGAAAATCAGGGTCAGGGGGTTGAGCTAAACAAGTATATTTTTTTTTTGGCCTTATGTACGTTTATATATTTTTTATACAGTGCCCTTCAATTTGAATTTATTGTATGTTACATTAATGATGTTAACAATAATTAATAACTAATTAACTTGGAATGGAATATTAGCCTCTTTTAGGAAAACAAAAAAAATTATAAAACATCGTTTAAATGCATTTAAAGAGGTTTAAGATCATTATAAGACAATGGGGAATATCATTACAGTAGTCGGGTTTCAAGTCCAAGTGCTTGTTAGCTTAGCGTCTGAGCAGCAACCTTTCATGACAGGGATTAGATGGTATTAGCTCATTGCTATGTTTCTGTAAGATAGGTTCTCTTGATCCCAAGGTTGTTGGCCAATGATGATGGAGCTGACGATGCACTGGTACTATTATTTCTTTAGGTGAAGTTATTTTCAGGTTTTATTTTATAATCCTTTTTATATAAAATTAGTTGTCAGGTCGTAGTGTTAAGCTTGGTTTCCTTAAAATTGCGTAGAGCAGTCCCTGACATTCAGGAATGCTGTCCACTTTGACTGACCAATCACCAT